ACATCGTCATGAAACGTAGGCACTTAGCTATTTTACGAACTTAAAATAAATTTCGTGTTTCAATAAATCGATTAAGTACGAATTTATTTAACAAAGGGAGCTTAACACCTTTTCAACGGGATTTTTTCTAAAAAAGTTTATTTTTAAAAATGTACAGTTTATTTTTCTTTGATTTTTGGACAGGTTAAACTTTTATCCTTGCCACCGTTTTTACAAAAAGAATTTTGGAAAAATGATAATATTTTGTATTTTTAAAACAATTTTTAAATGAAGCTTCTGAGTACACTTCTCACATCTTTAAAAATGTGATTTTGGCAACAATTTTCCTGTCTTATTGTTGTTGATAGATTTTCCATGAAATCCCATTATTTTGAATAGTTTCATTCTTTTAGAAATATGGGTTTGGCAACAATTTTCATCGTATTTCTTATGCCACTGTTTTTAAGAGATTGGCATATTACATTGTCATTTATATATAATACATTTTTATTGATTTTTTTTATAAAGTTGTTCTGTAGAGTAAAATTCTGCGTGGAATTTTTATGTTTTTTGAGTTGCCTTCATGTTATTTTTTTGCTTATTTCACTGTTTGTGAGATATTGAAAAGTTTTGCATGATTTTTTTTCTTCAACTGAAAGTTTGTTAATTTTTATTAGGATAATTAATATTTGTATTAAGGGATATAGCTTATTTCATTGTAATTTTTTAATCTTGAAAATATAAGATAAAATATCATTAATTATACTTTGCTTTCAGAATTTTTTGTTTTTTGTATTCTTTTATGTTATTTATTGCTCATTTCATTATTTTTAAGAAACTGAAAAGTTTTGAGTGGTTTTTTTAGAAAACAAAAGTTCTTAACCTCCTTTATACCATTTGAGTTAAGATTTTGCAAAGGGAAGTTGGTTAATTTATTTATTAGGATAATTCATATTTGTATTAAAGGATATTGCTTATTTCATTGTAATTTTGTTATACGTAATAACTTTTTTTAATGAAGTTGTTCTGCAGAAAATTCCACGCAGTTTCTAAATTTAACGTTTGGCCATTCAGTCATTTTTCCGGTACATTTAAAAGCCAGACGAAGGCTGGCAGCGAAGGTGCTAGTAATTCATAAATACAGTTTCATATATATTTTACACATGGTATACCAATACAATGTCTGTTAAACGAACCATTACAGGTCATTTACACATCAATAGGTTTTATATGTTCAAATAATTTTCTGGTTTCAAATGACTGCTAATTACCATTTTTACAATTTTCATACATTGTCAATACAAATACAGCATTCTCATTTGTTTATTTTGTTATGAATCTTGATTATTTAATGTTGCATTGTTTTTTCCTTTCAAATATACCTAACAGTTAATCGCAAAAATTTCCTGTCTAACCTGTTATTCATAATTACAACTAAGTGACCTTATTACATTTTTTGTTGATTAGTCAAATCTCCTTCCCCCCTTTTTATTCAATGAATTTAGTCAACCCAAACCAACCTGGAGCTACTAAATGTATAAACGTAAGTGCACGCTGTCTTATTTTGTACCGAACAAGAAATTAAAAAAATTACTGGAATTACATCCATTATAGTATCTGTGCTTATGCCACTAGATCCTAACTTATGTTCATTATATTGGATGAGCTGTAATTCACTTAGTAAAATAAATCACAAGTCATCTTCACAACATAACAACTTTTATTTAACAAAAGCAAGTTAAAAGGATGCATGCTTTGCAAGCGAGCAGGAGGGAGACATTACTAATGGAGATACAGATACGGTTATAGTTGCATACATACAGTTTAAGGTATATGATGTAATTCAATTAAATAAAGAGTTTGTAATTTAATAATCGTTCAAAAGTCCAGTTAAAGTTCAACCGCTACAGTATCCCCCCCCCCCGCCAAGTACTATAGGTATGTAACAACAATTAAATGTCACTGCTCAAAGAGAACGAGTTGTTTTCTGAAGCAAAACTTGTACTGCGCTTGGTGATTCTGCCGAGTTAGTGGTCGGGTTTGTATCGCTAAGAATAACTGGTGCTGTTGGTGAAATGCAAATAGGAATAATCGGAGTCGCTCATAAACTGTCACTAGAAATAACTGAAGTTGTGGGTGATAACGTCTTATTGTGTACGGAAGGCTGTCTTTAAACAGTCAATTCCAATAACAGATTCTTCTCCATTTATCAGAATGGCGAAGTGTTTACCAGTTCATTAAATAATGTGACAGCAACCATTATCGTAACCTTCGGGGAATTAGATGGCCCGGTCAACTGCAAATTCACGTGATTTGATGTCACGAAAAGCGCCTGAAATTTAACCCTTCGCGCTGCACTATGGACACTGCAAGCAAAAAATTCCTACATTAGTTTTTATACTGTTTGTTAATGTCACACTGCATCATCATTCACGTTTTTTTTTATTCGACTAGGTAAATTTGAGTAAAGTATTTAAGCTATTTTCATTTTTAAGTTCAGATTGATAGCTATGTCTACTTATTTGTTTGTATTTGTTAATAAATATAGCGATCGACTTTTATGTAGAGCTAAAATAAGTAATCATTATGCACGATGTTGCGTTCAAGCCTGCAAATCCATCTACGACGGCACCAATGAATATATGAACTGATATTCAAGTTTCCAAACCATACATTAGAACAGGATTTGTGGATTAAAAGTATTCCAAGTGATCACAACATTGTCTACAAGAAAATGATGTCATTCGGCACAATTCCCCCCCAAAAAAAGGTAGTGTCATTCAAGTTTGTAGAGGGTACCCTAAATTAAAAAATGATGCTTATCCACTTATTTTTTCTGGTATACTTATTTGAGTATCCAACAGCTAAGAGGATGAGCAGGAAGGAAAAAAAAATAGCCAATACGGATAAACATATTTTTATGAATTTTTGAGAAAGGAAAAAATTGCATCATTTGAGGATTTTTCCTCTTCATTATTGAATAAACTACACATCTCAGATATAATTTCACATACAATCTGCTGATGAAATTTGTATTTTTTGCTTGATTTTAATCTGGTTGAGCAGATGTTGCTGCATCCACTCAATTTTTTGTAGCTTTCCTTATTCTGCAAGTATAAAGATATCATTGCATTAGTAATAAATAAATCGCTTGCTGTAATGTTGTAGCAAAATTATAGTTTATTTAATTTATGTTGTCAAATGTCAAGAGAATTTCAGATTTTAATTTTTTTTTTTGCGATTTTGAATCTGCTGTTTTTATTATGTAATAAGTGAAATGAATTAAAAATACATTTACATACTTTCTGAAAGCTCTGAAGTATTTAAAGAATTGCATGTAGATCGTTCATTCAAGTTATTAAGATTTAAAACTGCGGTAATGGTTAATAAATAATTATATTTAAGAAGATACTAAAAAATCATTTTTTAAGTCTTAATTTGCTAAATAATGTTTATTTTTTTAGTAAATTATTTATACTTTGGAATCTTTTCTTCTCGTCATTTCTCTTTCCTTCGCATCTGCAAAATTAAGCCTGCAGAATTTAGGGTGAATGAAATTAATAGAAAATTTCGTAAATATATTTTTCAGTGCATTTAATAAAGAATTATATTTTAGTATTTAGTGTAAGTAAGCATAATCAAACATTAAAGATTTATATATGTTAACAAATAACAATATTTTTTAATTTTAAAACTTTGCTTTTTTGCGAATCTCTAACAAAATCATTATTATATACTATAAAAATAATTTTACAAAATATCGGAAAATGAATATTTCTTGAAATGTTATGCAGTTAATCTTAACTGTAAATGAAAAAATGACCTTTTATATATGTTTTTCCGTAAGTCTCTGGAAATTTAAGTATGCGTTATTAAAAATAATCTCTAGAGAAGGGTGCACAAAACAGAAAGGTTTAATGTGTGCAGAAGTAGAAGGAGGTAATTCCCGTATGGTGTTGCACACATGCTAGGGAGAGATTGCGAGATTGGTCTGCTACAGGTATTTGGAGGGCTGTAAGAATTCTCTTGGTAAGGACTAATTTCCTTCGCAAACTATCTCAGAGTAAGTACCACCAAGGTCTTCTTTGACAGCTGAGCGCACTGCCATCTTTGGTCTGTAGTTATAATTTTTCGGGCTCTATACGAGTGACTGTTTTATCCGTAATTTCCTGCAGAGGTATTGCTTCAGGCCACAGAGGAAACTGATCTATAAAGTGACAAGATATATCCTCAGATTGAAGCAAAGGTCCTATTATGTCAAGGTGAACATGCTCAAATCTTTGAGAAACAGCCCGAAACGATTGTAAAAGGCTACGAGCATTTCATGAGTTTCGACTTCTGAAAACCTATGCACTAAATAATAGTTAAAGAAGCTTGCAGTATACTGAACAACAATTACACTTTAAGATCTTCCAGAATGCACTGACCATACAAAACTGACACAAAAGACAACTACACCAATCATGAGTTACTTGAGGCTGGTCAGCAACATTTTGGCATGACATTACAAGTTTACTTGTGGCCAGTCAACAACGTTTTGGCATGATATCACGAGTTTATTTGTGGCCAGTCAGGAATATTTTCCCATGATGACATGAGTTTACTCACAGCCATCAGCAATGTTTTGGCATGGCATCATAGTTTACTTGTGGTTGATCAGCATTTTGGCGTGATTATATGAGTTTACGCATGGCCAGTCAATAAAGTATTAAGTCATTTTCTCTCTTTTTAGGATTGAAATTAAGAAATGAGTCTTAGAACTGATGGCATCCCAGAATATTAAAGAAATACAGTATATGGAAAATAATACATTTTCAACACAATTAAAAAATTAAACGTTTTACGAATTTTATAACTAAACTGCAATAAAAAGTAATATATTATTATTATACTCAAAATATTTCATTTCTATTACTATATGTTATCAAAAACAGTACACTTCAAATTAGTTTTTAAAAAACATTTTTTCCGTGTTAACAGTCATGAAATATTCACAACAACAGTTGAGACCACAGCAAGAATATCTTTTAAAAACATTTATTCATTTTTCATATTGAATATGAAGTACATGACAGAACCATAATCCAGCAGCATTTACATGACATACCTATTCCTATCATTGCATGCGATGCTAACATGACATTTTGTCAAACATCACAAAAGACATTTTCAAATTTGATGATACCTACAAAAGTACACATTAAACAAAACCAAAATTTTTTGTTTTGATTGCTAGAAGAAGTTTGGAGCGCAAAATAGTTTTAGATGAATACAGAGGAATATATAGCCTTGATATGCAAGTATTGGCTGTTGGTAGATGTTGGTCATCTGCTGGCCGAATTGTTATACTAGGCATCGGCTGAAATCCTTCCTCACTTGCAGGCAGAGCAGGACTACCAGTCCAAAAGTAGACCTGAATTTTTAAAAAAAGTTAGATTAAGAATAACAAAAATTTTCTTTGCAACATTTAACATGTTTTGCTTTATTTTAAGCAACATTTCTTTGTTTCCTATAATAAATACTGTTATCAAATCTTATAATGTATGAAAGTCTCTACTTAAAAAAAAAAAAAAAAAAAAGTCATACAATAAAAGCAGATAGATGGAATTATAAATTTTTTCAAGATCATAGCTTATATATACTTTTTCAGTAAAAAATAGAGAACTATACACATACAGACTTTTCTAGATGACATTTATATGATTTTTTAATTCAACCGAAATATTATTCAGTTCTTACTAGTCATCTATTTATATATAGTAATCATTCTACTGTCTGTTTCCATCTATAATAAATAAAGACATACTTTTCAATAGAAAATATTCACACATGCAGAACCACTATATAAAATATATTTTTCATCAGCATAACTATCACTTATCTGGAAGTATGCACAAAAACAGGTAATAAATTTAGGGTACTTAAGGGTGGGAATTAGCAGATCAGTTATAGGATGAAAACATACTAATGGAGTTATCTATTTTCAGCATATTTACAAATGGACACCTCATGTATGCATTTTCTAAAAACAATAAATTCAATACCAGTTAAAAGATGAAAGAGGCAATGCATGATTTTTCTTCATTCAAAATTAAGCATATGTCATTTAAACAATCTTGACAACAGGTAGACATAAACTGACCATCGTCCTCTAGAGTTCCATTAACATTATATAAAACAAGCAAATTAGATTAAAAATAAGAACATTAAAACTGATTGCATTTCCTCTAAAGAGAATATTGCTAGCTTTTATTTCTAAATCCCATACATGGAATGGCTCAATTCACACTTAGAAAAATTAGAAATAACCTGAGACTCTTTTGGATCATGTTGAGCAAAATAAGGAAATTTCATTTCATGCTTAACTTGAAACAAAGTTTCAAAATTACAGAAATCTTGACATAGCAACTATCAGCTAGCGTATATTGCACAAAAAGATGAAAAAGTCCAGCAATAATCAAGCATCCATATATAATACTGGAGATCAGCATTTTTATTGTCTCAAATCTGTCACTTGTTTTTGATTTAACTTTTGGCCTCTGAATCCAAATATAACCTCCGTTTTTGTTTATCATATCAACTTTTTAAGCCACAGGATATCCTCTTCTTGTCTCAAAAGTCATACTAAATATTCATATAAAGGAAAAACATGCCAAACATACTGTTCACAAAGAACAGTTTTATTCATACAAAGGTTATAGGTATATAGTTAGTGAAAGTTAAATTTCACTCATACAAATAGTAAAGCTTTTTTACCAAATGATAAAGAAACATATCAAGATAAAAATTTTTGTTTATGGCTTTTTCTGGGGAGATTAAACTGTACATTTTTGCTTGATGTTCCAACAACAGTAAGCATGGTGGAATAACTTGCATTGCTCATAATCAAATGCATTGAAATTTTTTGGGAAGTTTATATAAGCTTTTATCTTTTCAAATGACAGGCTAGGAAATGCTAAAATGAGATACTTGAAACAGTCTCCTTCAATTGGCAAAGCTTAAACAAATTGATTCCCCAATAATGAGTTTTGTATGCAGAGGTGGAAATACAATGTTCTTTCTGTCGACAAATGGCTGATGTAGAATGTTTGGATCACCGGGTTTCAGGTCAGATCTTTGATACCAGTTCTACTGCCCCTAATGCTTCTCACAAGCTTTACTGTCCCACATACTCGCAAAACAGGGATACTTGGTACACTGCTAAAAAAAAAAGGGGGGCGACAGTTCTATATCTCCCGTTCTACTGGGCCGATTCACGAAATTCAACTTTTGTTCTTTATGTCTCGAAAGCGCGACTTAGGATATATATTAGATTTATATATAACATTATTCTAACATAGGTATTTTGACACAGAATCGGACTTTCTCTGAAATAATATACCATGTAACAGAACTATTTAAGTGTAATTGAACTATTTTATTCATGAACTCATGAACTGTAACCGAACTATTTTATTTAAACGCGATCTCGTGGCGATATGAAAAAACGTCAGTCCTCCAGCCGCCATGATGATAGTTTACTATATCTCTGTTATTCAAATGTTTAATGTTCCATTTGATATATGTTTCATTTTTATGTATATTTCTTTTGTTTGTAACCATTCCTGTGTGCTTTGTTAATAATTCCTGTGTGCTTTTCTTTGTAACCGTTCCTGTGTCCTCTGTTAATAAATCCTTTTAAAGCTAGCCGGCATTAGTGTCTATTGAGGAATGGCTACATCACAAGCATTTTTTTTTACATATTTCGATTCTACGACTCAAATTATGCCTACATACTAATTTTGTAAAATTTGGTGCGAAATTTACAGAGAAATTCAACAGTTTATGTTGGCACTTTTTTTACAGTTGCGCCAAGAATAGTTCACTTAGCAAACTTCTTAATATATGACAACCTATTTTCCTTTCACTTTCTATCTCATGCGTGAGGAGGGGGGGGGGGAAGTAAAGGTCATTCCTTTTTTCAGATAATGGTCTTTATATTATATTTTTAATTACAGTCAAAATTAATCCGGACTTGTCGGGACTTTGGCGATTCTGGATTATAGATCATCAGTTTAAATCTGATGCATGCAGAAATTATAAAATTAAAAATATGAAACCATAATTTATGAAATAAAGAACAATTATGATCTAAAGGGTATCAAAATTTACAAAAAGAAAAAGTTTAATATTTACTTGTTTACTTTATTAAACATTTCTTTCAATGTAAGTTGTTTAAGTTGCTTCGTTTTTTATGTGATAATACATTCTCTTTGATTCTATAAACAGACATAATTTCTTGTTCAGTTACAAAGTTCCGCTGTTCAAGTCCTATAATTGCTGTGTCGAGAATACCGACTAATTTGTCAATCAAAATTTTTTCGTTTTCAATAACCTCTATCACTTTCTTCGCTATCGGAAGCGAATTATAATGACGAGGAATTTGATTTAAATCATATCAAAGACCGAGTACATTGAGATGAAATACTACATTTAGTAAGGAATTATAAGCCAAATAAAATAAAAACATCTGCCCTGAAGATAAGGATTTCATAATTTATTTCATAAATTACGGTTTCATATTTTTAATTTTAGAATTTCTACATGCCATCTTACGAGATTTAAACTGATGATCTATAATGCAGAATCGCCGAAGTCCCGACGAGTCCAGATTAACGACTTTTGACTGTATATTAAAAAGCATCCAACTTTTCGAAACATCTTGATATTTCTGACAATCATATTAAATAAAGTTATCACCTTCCATTTCATAAAGACCCACAAACGGCCGAGCGGTAAAGTTGCTGAACATTGGTAGTTCACTCCGGGGTTTGAATCCCGCTAAATGGACTGGTTGCATGGGCATTTTCATGGATTTTCTCCTGTGTAATGTGTATGCCAGCTGGTTTCCCTTAGAAAGTTCTTCACAAAGGCATCCTTCCTTACGGGCTGGTTGCATGGGCATTTCCGTGGATTTTCTCCTGTGTAATGTGTATTCCAGCTGGTTTCCCGTAGAAAGTTCTTCAAGAAGGCATCCTTCCTTTTAGACATATAGCCCTACTTTGCCATAACTTAATAATCCATTTCATCAGTATTTCAGTCAGAGCCTTTATCAATCTTTAGAGGTTGACAGCTGCTTTCATCAAGAGGTTTTGGTTTATTTAATTATGGCAAAGCACACTAGGGCTATCTGCCTAAGGGAAAGGATGCCTTCACGGAGGACTTTCTAAGGGAAACTGGTTTGTATACATGTTACACATGGGGAAAAACAACAAAACGCCCATGCAGCCCGTTCGTGAGATTCGAAACTCGGACCGAACTACCAGTCTAAACCAGTCGCTCTTCGCTTTAATCAGCAACGATATCATTTTTGTCTTTTCTGTTAACACAAGCTGAATTGATGGTATTTTCTGGTGTATACGTCCAAGTGTTTTCTCTTTGAACACCTAAATTATTTAAAGTATCCTGAAAGTATATTCAAAAGTGTCCAACTTTTTGAAATATCTTGGTATGTCTGACAGACACATTTTCCTTTAAATTTTTGCGTACTTTTCTCCCTAATTTTCTTCTTTCCTTCTACAGTTATTTTCAGTGCTCACACAAGAAAATTAAGATTTTTCGATTGCTAGACTTCCATAAATTTTGCATTCTAGTCAATTTTTTAAAATATCAATTGCCTCAACTGCGTTTCAGTTAAAGACAGCTTTTCATTTTCTAGACATTTTACCTATAAACAAAGTATAGAGCAAAGTCCAAAGGATAAATATTTTAATGAAAAGATTTTTGCTAAATTAGCTTCTTAAAACATTCTTTCTAAGAGAATTAATATAAAAATTTATATTTACATATATATATTTTTAAAGCTGGGACTTGAACCAAACTGTCTAACTTTTAACGTTTAATTTACATGATGGTTATAATTAAAGTTCCACTTTGAAATGGCCATAAAAGGAAAACTACCTGACCAAATGTTATCAGACTTGGGAATCGTGTAAAGGAGGTTATGGGAATTTATTTTCTGTGTGTGGGGGGGGAGAGCTCAAAAACTCACCACCAGAGGAAAAAAGGTGCTGTATGCAATACAGTCGAAAGTCGTTAATTCGGACACCCATAATCCGGAATGATCTATAAACCGGACCTCAAAGCTACAAACTTTATGCGCATGCGTGTAAGACTTTTACGGCTGCGAATATGCGTGTGTGTGTATGCAAAATACATTTACGAATGCGCGTTTAATGTATAACGGACGGTATAAGCTAAAATTATCTAATTCAGTTAATGTTGCAGATTGCGTTGTTCCTTAATCTTCGAATTGGATTTGGCTTATTATTTTTTGCAGACTGTTAGAGCAATTTTATAAAAGTAAGTTTGAACTTTCGATTATGTCAAATAGAATTTCTGATATATATTTACTAATATGTAAAGGATCTACAA